ATGTAGGGCTTCCAGTGCCCGGACTGCCACCACAACCACTTACACATATATAGGGCTCCCAGTGCCAGGAATTAGCTTATTGGTCAAGATTCCTGTCATCATTCATAATTTTCCCTCCCTCTCTCTTGTTTTGCCACTTTTCAGAAATCTGAAGCACTTCGAAACTTCGGCACTTTGGAACTTTGGCAATTCGGAACTTCGGCAATTTGGTTCGGTACGGAACTTCCGAACTACCGAACTTTGGCACTTCGGACATTTGTAAGCATTGGAATGTCCGAATTGCCAAAATTCATCCAAATGTACATTTGGAACAAAACAAATTGCACATGTCTATTAGTTCCCCTTTAAACCTCTATGCAAAAATATTTCTGGCCTATCCCTACTGCCAGTTCAGGGACAGATAAATAATGACTGTCCAAATTGGTGATCTTTTATTTGTATTGCAGGAAGTACTATTAACAAGGTATCCAATAAACTTGTGCATAATGAAAAAAAAATGTTTGTCCAATTTGTTTTTTTGTTTTTTATTGGACTAACCAAATTTTGTCCATGTGGCATTTTGACTTGTTTGAGAACATTGAGAGCATATTGATTTGGACAAACCAAAATTTCTTGGCGGCATGGGGGTTAATCGTGGGGCAACTGGCTAGCACTTGCTAGTCAGCTGCCACATTAAAATGTTAAAATTAAACAATGACATAAAAGCCTTTGGAATTTAATATAATCCCCATATTTCATATAAGGGAAGTATAAAACCTCCCTTTTGCCCATAACCATCATGCAACTATTCGGTTATTGCTGCCCACCTACCAATAAAGGCACCATCCCATGGGGATGAGGTCTGCAAATTACTGGGGAAGTCACGGCACAGGATCGACTCCCCATGCCCCCATCTGTGGACATTAGACCAAGGCTTAACATTAAATAATTTAATAAAAAAGAGAAAAACTAAATCAAAACATCTACTCTAAAAATATATATTTCTATTTGAATTCTTAAATCATTATTTACAGCTTATCAAAGTTTGTCCTTCATCTTCCTTTGGGTTGTTTGAATAGATCTGCCACTCAGTATGGATTTGTCTAAGGAAATATCTGTAATTATATATTATATTGCAAAAGAAATTAGCATTTTCTTATGATGTGAACTCAAAGGTACAATGAAAAATAGTTTTCTTACATTTTGACACCGGCAAAAGAAGCTTATTTTCTTTTTCAATTTTCTGTTTATCGAGATGCAGCTTCATACACGGAACATTGTAATCTGCATATTTAAATGTATCTGACAACATTCTTAAGGAACAATAGATAGCAGCATATCATGCTGAATAATATTTCCTGTTTTTTCAAACTCATTTTATTCCAAGACCGAAATATCATATTTACAACGGGATCAGATAAAATGTGTAAAACAGCAAAATCCTTATCAGCATAAGATTCCCCTGTTCAATTCTCATTTTCAGCATTTCTAGATAAAACATTTTGGACAGTAATACTGAAGAATTGCTTGAAAATGTATAGTAGTGAAACTAACAATAGAAGGAGTAATAATAACAATAAAAATAATAAGACCATATTTAACCAGAAAAGGTAAATTTAGCAAGTTGCATATTTCGAAATAGTATCTTCATTATTCTAGAGACGTTATTAATACCCAACTTAAATATACTTCATTAATTAATTTAATGGTAAATTTGTCTTTTCACATTAAACTTTTGAATGTTACCATCTTAATTATGAACTTATCTCCCTAATTTACATGGTTAACATATAGAAAACTCTTTTTGAACGATAAATCTACTAAGGAGACAAATGGTTTTATCAGCGATGGTCCCCAAAACAGATAATTAGAATTACAAATTGCTTCAATGCTGTGACGAAACCGACCACGCCACTGGGCATTGGAGAAGCCTGTTTGCCCGCCTCCTGCCTGCTGACTATGGCCCCTGGGAGATTTGACCCTTTAAATACATGATTTGGGCATAATGGATTTGTGTTGTGCTACTGCTGGCCCTTTAAGAACCATCTGGGGACATACTGTGCAGTTACTGGGTGGCCACCATTTCATGTATCAGAGGCACATGGTGAGAACAATGGATGAAGCACATGGTGAGAACAATGGATGGCGGCCATTTTAACTCACAGACACTGTTTGGACTTTTCTACACGGTGCCATCTTGCCGGTATTTGGTGCACAGAGACATCGGGCAGTAGTTTTAAACTATACAACAGGGGACACAGTATACAGTAATTATTTTTTATATAATCTGTATATGTTCTGTGGAATCTGCATTAAACTGTATCTTCCAAAGTACTGAACGGATCTGGGTGAATTTTGTATATGTGGTTCACCCAGATTCCCTAGTTCCAAGGATACACTTTTTATGGGGTTATTGCATGTTTTGGGGTCCCTGTGATGTGTTTTATAATACTGTATTTCTCTGTCTGTGATAATTAGATTAACCATTGTGTTCAGTAATCATATCACAGGCAGAGGGGAGGATTTTGTGTGGGAGTGTCTGTGTGTATTGTACGGATTGATTGGCTGTGTTTCAAAACCCTGTGGGCAGTACTATATTTGTGGATTGTGAATAAAAGAGGCTGTATGTGCCAGTCCAGTCAGTTTCTGTTTGACCTCAAAACGAAGTGTTGTCTCGTTATTGGGGGAATTGGATTGTATGCTGATTGCCAGGAGTGTAAGCTGATTGTAGGCTTTTCCTGTTCAGCTGCTAACAGCATTCATATGCTTGAGAGCATTCGTATGCTTCTCCGGTTTGGTGGTTGTGGTGTCTGCTGCAGTGCTTGGAGTCCTCAGGAAGCGCTAAGAGCATCCTTCAACGGAGGTACCCAGTCAAATGCTATTATTAAAGGACCACTATAGTCACCCACACCATTTCAGCTAAATGAAGTGGTCTGGGTGCCATGTCCCCCAGGTTTTAACCCTTCAGATGTAAACATAGCAGTTTCAGAGAAACTTCTGCAGGGTTAATCCAGCCTCTAGTGGCTGTCTTCCTGACAGCCGCTAGAGGTGCTTCTGCGACGCTGAAAGCGAAAATCGCATTCAGCGTGCAGAACGTCCATAGGAAAGCATTGAGAAAGCTATGGGCTTTTTTAATGCACACACAGCTCTGGCCGCGCATACGAATTCCACTCTACTCAGGAGCTGACATCAGAGTGGGAGGAGAGGTCACCAGCCCAGAGGGAGCCCGACGCTGGATTAAAGTAAGTAGCTGAAGGGGTTTTAACCCCTTCAGCCCAGCAGGAAGGGGGCCCTAAGGGTGGGGGACCAAAGGGTTATACAGTGTCAGGAAAACGGGGTTTGTTTTCTTGACACTATAGTGATCCTTTAACTAATGCTGACTTCCTTAATGAGTTTTGTATATTTATAAATCATCTCTACTATAAAAAAGGTAACATTTTTGAGTTGCTCCAAATAAATAAAAAACAGCATCATGTTGTTTAACTTCTAGATGAAATAACCGACTATTGTGCTATTCTAATTAAATTATTATGAATAGAAGATTAATTACAAATGTGAAAGACTTCTAGCTAGTTCCTAATTATCTCCTGCTGTAATATGCTTTAAAGGAACACTATAGTGCCAGCAATATAAACATGTATACGTGACACAATAAAGTATAAATAACTATTTAGGTCACCGGTCCTCAACAATCTCATAGGAAAGGAGTTTTTACTCATCTTTTTTTCCCACACCGTGGCAGGCCCCACCTTGCCCTGCCTCCACGACTGAGATAATCAATCTTGATGATCTCAGCCAATCCAATACTTTCCTCATAGAGATGCATTGAACATGAATACACTGAACGCCACTGCTGCACCCTCTGTGCACTGGATGAGGAAGCACCTCTAGTGCCCATCTGAGTGACTGCCAAAATAGGTATCAATATGCAGCAAGGTAAACACTGCCTTTTCACTGAAAAGGCAGAGTTTACAGTGTTTAGTCTGCAGGGACAGGCTATAGACACAAGAATCAATACATTAAGCTGTAGTTATTCTGGTGACTATAGTGTCCCTTTAAGTTATATGTAACCGAGAGTTGAGCATAGGATACATCTGGGTACAAAAACACTTTGATTTTAGGATTTGCAAGAGATTTAAATCAAGTTGTTGGATTAGATACAGACAATTGCAACAACAAATTATTGTCTTGAATAACAATTATACGCCTGCATTAAAGTAGGCATTTCTTTTAAAAAGATGCCCATTATTTCACAGATGTAGTGTCTATTTATCTGTATAAATGAATGCCAATGCTATTTTTTTTGTTTCTACCTTACCTTTTAGCTGAAAATAAGTCAATACTAATTATAAAAGAAAAAAAAGAAAAGAAATGTACGACCAAGGATTACAAAACTTAACGAGGATGTTTAAGTCTATGAAAACATTGCAATTTTAGAAGCAATCTTCCTTACTTAATAAAAATGTTTATTCATTTGCAGGTGGTATATAATTACATCCACAAATGAAGTCTTTTTTTTTGCATCCTTTACCTTCTATTTCATATTTGATATATTTGACAAAATATTATAATTTTCAACCATGTTTAATTTAGTTTACAAATGTTGCAGTGAAGTTACCATTATCCTAGAATCATAATCAGCCATTTTCAATATAAAAAAAAATATATCTTGGCTTTTGCTAGCTGGAATAAAATACCACAATATTCATGGAAATAACATGTGACTGTCGTGAACACAGTTTAGTGGACGGAGCCCAATATGCAGATAAATGCTGAAGGCAAGAGAATAGTCAGGGAAGCCAAAGGTCAGGACAAGCGGCACAGGTTCAGAAGCGATGATACAGGCAAGAGTCAAAATCAGGAACAGGATCAGGATCAGGGTCAGTATGCAACAGGAGAGTTTCTGACAGTCTTTACACAATCACGAACACAGTACAACTGAGTGAAGAGTAAAGGGTGTGTGCGACTTAAATAGGGAAAGTGGGTGGGCTTGTTAATTGAGGTTCCACAATGGTCTCCACCTCCTGTACCTTTACAAGACTGTGTTGGCGCGCGTGCGCCCTTTGATTCCCTTGAAGTTCTTCCTTCTGTGTGGTCACACATGGAAGCAACAGCATTCTAACAAACAGAATTCTGTTCGTGCTGTGTTCGGGAGCCGGCGTCCGTACGAACGGAATTCTGTCTGCAGTATAGGTGAGTAGCATTCGCATAAACAGAGATGGCGTGTCTGGGGGGGGTCGTGCTCGACTCGGCATCCTTGTGAAGTGAGTGAGAGACGCGGCGTGGGAGCACAAGATATGTGAGTGAGGAGACAAGGAGTACCCACCCTCTAAGGAGTTGCCTCCGGAGGCTACCAGGATCAGAAAGAGAAGGATGTTGGAGATTCCCCCTTCGGATGCAGGAGTCAAGGATGTCCTGTACCTCATATTCAGATTCCCCAGTGACAATCACGGGAGCTGGAGGAGGGATGACTCGATCTGGAAGGTATTTTCCTTAAAAGGTTTGAGGAGTGATACATGGAAAGATGGATGGAAACGGGAGTGAGGAGGCAAATCCAAGTGAACTACGATAGGAGAGATGATCTTCTTGATATGAAATGGACCAATGTATTTAGGCCCCGACTTCTTGGAAGGACAGGGTAGTTTTATATATCAGGTGGATAACCAGAAGAGTTGATTAACTTAGTATGAAGGAGGTGTTCTTCTGTCACAGTCTGCATATGATTTATATAGGCATTGACTCTCTTGTAGTGTCTTTTGAGCACAAAGGAATCCTTGTTTTAACTGGTTAACGTGAGTGGAGGAATCTGGAACAGTGGAAGCAATAGACAGTCCTGGTAGGGATGTGGGTTAAAATCCATAATTGAGCATGAAGAAAGAGGCATGTGTAGAGTCGTGATTATGTGTATTATAGGCAAATTCTGCAGTAGTAAGGAGTTATTTCCAATCAGTTTGCAGATGTGTTATGTAACACTGAAGATATGTCTCCAAGATTTGATTTGTTCACTCGGTTTGCCCATTAGTATGTGGGTAGAAGGCAGAGGAAAGGTCCACTGAGATATTGAGGAATTGACAGAAGGCTTTCCAGAAGTGGGATGTGAATTGGGTTCCCTGGTCAGAGAGGATGGAGTCAGGGATTCCATGCAAATTTAAAGACATGGTCATGAAAAAAAGTAGCTGTCTTTTTGGCAGTGGAGAGACCCTTTACTGGGATGAAATGGGCCATCTTGGTCAGGCGATCAACAGTAACCATTATGGTGTTATATCCATGGGATTCGGGAAGATCAATGATGAAGTCAATGGTAATATGACTCCAGGGTCTGGAAGGGATCAGTAGAGGTTCATAGTTAGTGTTTTTGTTCTCTCACAAGGGGTACAGGTAGTCACATAGTCTATTACGTGTTGTTTGAGCGTAGATAACCAGAAATATTGTTGGATGGAAAGTATGGTCTTTCGTTGTTCACTATGACCAGATATTGGTGAATCGTGAAAGTGTTGCAATATGCAGAGACGAAAGGGTTCATCAACATAGATCTTTCCATGCGACATTTGGAATCCCTCTGGAGACAGAGTAGTAGTGGCGGCAGTGGTTTGATGTCTTTAACGACAGTAGCCATGATACCCAGAAAATGTTGAAGATTTAATATTGTTTCTTCTTTCTTATGTCATGTTTCATCTGGGGGAAAAATACACGAAAGGGCATGTGCCTTTTGATTCTTTGATCCTGGCCGGTAGGTTACATGAAAAGAGAACCTGGAGAAAAAACCAGCAAGCTTGAAACATGATTTGAAGCCCAAACATGATTTGCGAACATAGGGAATAAAAGTGTAGTTACGTCCTCTATCCCGCTACACAAATAGACGAATGAGTAGTAGTTCTGCCACACTGTGTTCCGGAGCCAGCATCCGTACAAACCGAGTTCTGTCTGCAGAATAGGTGAGTAGTGTTCACAGAACAGAGGTGGTGTTCATATCTGCAAACTTTAATGGCCCTCTTATCCTTATCTGTGCCCTCAAGGTGGGGGCTAAAACTAAGTCACACTTGAAAGAAACCGTAATGGCGATACTGCAAGTTTACAATGCTCGAAAAGAAAGATGGCACATTTTCATTGTTTATTTTTCATCTACAATATATACAGCTTGATCTAAGATCAGAGGGAGGACGGGCATTTTCTGGAAAAATATAGTATCTCTGCTTACTTTCATTGACATACTTTGCCCCATTCTATAGAATTCTATTTTGAACCCATGTAATAGCCTGTCAATGACATAAAGAACGAACCTTGATTTTTTTTTTTAAATTTTTTTTTTTAATGTAATTAAAATTAAAAATGCTGGGGGGGCGGGGCCTGACCATCATGGCGGGGAGACGTGTTTTACACGAGCTCCTGCTAAATCCTGACAAAATAAGCGAAAATCGGCTCACCCAGTCGCAACACACGGCATTGCTAGACACCCATCAGGATCCTGTGCAACCCGATTGGGGCCAGCTGAAGACTCAACCGACATTGCGACCTGGTGCTCAACGGGCGGGGGAGGCAGCCGCTCCCCAGTCCTGGAGGCACCCTGAAGCTGCTCACAGTACAAGCCAGCCCTGCTACCCCCCCCTTGGACCGGCGGGGGTGATCCCGGTCCACCCTAGGGGGGCAACCCCAAGCATGAGAAGAGATGGGATACCGCCAAAGACAGCACACGGAGGCCTGTCTAAGATGGCGGACACAACACGTGCCGACCACCCCAGCGACTCCCCACAAGACATCCTCACACGAATCAACTACCACTTTGAGACCTTCTGGAGGAAGCTAGGGGGTATACTGAATCAAAGCGCTCCGCCACTACCACAAAGCAAGCAACGCTCACCTACTCCCATCACACGAACCGGCAGCCGCACAGCGCTCCCTCTCACTCGAGCAGGGCGCCAACGCAAACATGCCCTCCTGTCCTGCCGATACTACACTGCACGAAGGTCCAGCAGGGACCGACTCCGCGCTCCCAGACCGCACTATCAAAAGAATCACAAATCGCAGCGACACCTACAGCCGCGGTTGGGACCCGGTGGGGAGTGGAGGTGCGAAGGACTGCGTAGATCGGGGCACACAGACAAGGAAAAGAACGCACTGACAAGACTCACCTCGCCCAAGAACAGAGCGACGCAAGTCCGAAGGTGGAGAAGGCTGGGCGCTGGGCCCAAAATGACGGCAACACCTGGTCAGTCATCTACCGACCCGCGACCACGACACGGGCTGCCTCCCGAGCACACGAAGAGACCAAGACCAGGATCCACAAAGGCACCCGAATGGGACTGTGGTATGCCTCCTGCGGGAGTGGGCTGACTGGGACTCTAGAAGCCATAGATGAGTCACCCACCTTGCCTCACATAGACTCTGACTGTAATATAGCACATTTAATGTTTCTGTATGCATTTGGTGTTACTATTATACCCCTATGCTCGTGAGTTATGCTTAACGTTTATCTGTTTTGACCATTTCTCAATTCAGTTCTCCTAGCTAATGATAAAGGCACACCTTATTAAAGAATCCAGGATCGGGGCCCTCCCTCCTGGCGGTAAATTCCCAACCCCTTAGCTATGCCCACTGACTGCCTGCTGCAAAAGCCTCGCTGTGGCACTACAAGAGCTGCGCTGGCACCTCAGGAAATAGCAAACCTTACTCCATCTTAGTTCTTTCCCCATAGTGTGGCAGCATGCTATTCCTATTCATGTCAAATCGAAAATTGCCAGATCAGCAAACCTGCTAGCGCTATTGATACTCTCATTAGGTTCATAACCTGTGAATCTTAGAAATCTACTAATATTGTTGAAATCTCATTGTCATTTGTGATGAAGATGGTTAGCGTACTTAGTTTACTCATAGCAAAGCAACCTCCTTACAAAAAACGATTGACTCAAAGCATGGTTTCACACTATAATATAAAAAATGTGCTGTTTTACATGCTACGATATGTACTGTTTTGTTACCGCTTGCAACTGCCGTCGTTCTTGGCAGGCCTGTTTGTTACTTCATGCACACGAAAAATAAAGAATTATAAAAAAAAAATTAAAAAATGCTGTCTCAATGAAATTCTATGGTTCCTACTTAGTGGATATTTTGTAGCGCTAATATATTTAAGTAAAACAAATCCATCCAAAAAGACCTATCACAGCTCTAATTAGAGAGGCTCTTCAGTTCCCTAGCAATAACACATCTGAATTTACTGACCTAATAGAGATGATTTGATGTTTGTTCTCAGAAAATACCACTTATGAACAGTTTTACAACCAAGCCGTACTAACAGTCAATATTAAATGTCACTTTGCAAATGGCTCACATCTGTTCACTTATTCAGCATTCTGAAGTCGAATGAACAAGGCAAACCATAGCATCAGTGTCTAAATGATCACTTTTCTATATTAAAATCTAGTTAGTTTCATTTTTCACAGTAATTTTCTCAAGGACATATGCATTGCAAAATACTGACCTTTTATGTTTTCTAACTTAGGATGTGCTGGTAGTTATGAGACAATCTGTCTTCCCCGGTAGAATGAACTAAGGAGCTGTTAAAAAAACATTCCCGGTCATGTTAAATTCAAAATAGAATTAAATAAAAGCCTTCGGGATAATGCTCATCCTAGCACGAATGAATCTGTAACTAGAGAGTGATGACTTTGTTGCACCTTTTCTTTAGTACCCTTAATGTACAAATAAAAAAAATGATACCTGCCTAACTTAATGTGTCAGTCCTGGCACAAATAAATATGTCATGGACTAATCTCTCTGGTTCTCAATAAACATAATTTTCCATGAACTGGCAGTCAGTTTAAAAACTTTGAAGAACTATAGCTAACTTGAGATTGGCAGTGAGTTAGTAAAGATGTAACAGTAATAGAAAATGATGTTCCAGATTTCTAAAGATTTTTTTTAAACATCTTATGAGTCTTCTACTCCAATCGTCTTGTGCTTCTCAGAAAAAAAAAACAGCTTTATCTTTTACCATTGGTATAATTATAGGATTGCACTGGGTGAAACTGAGACAGACTTCGTAGTTCTGCCTTCTCTTCAACTCTTTAGTAGTGAGGCACTATAAAGGAGCCATCAAAGGTCAGGTTGTTCTAAAGAATATAGATTACTCAGGGGCAAGCTGGAAAACTTCATCTCAGTACACAAGTATAGCTTTATTGTCCAAAAATGTAGCAGATAAAAAATCGCATTTTGCACACAGATATTGTAGAA